ATGTGGTTGCCGATGGTAAATACGCTCGCTCATGAGCGAGCGTTTAAACTGATTAGTTGCTGCAACTTTATACATCAGACCGTTTGTTCTATGTCCGATAGCTACTGTTCCAACAAAAACAAAAAAAGATGCGCTCGATTGCGTAGACTGGTTCGTGGCTCCATTGTTAAAAAAATGTTTGTTTACTGTCATAGGGGTCTAAGCGTGCTTGGCGTGCAGAGGTGCTAGCGTATCTACCTTGGTACTAGCGCTCTATTAAACAGGGAAACTTGTGAGCACAGGATATACATATATAGCTCTTTAGATCTTGGTTGAGAGAAAGCTGCTGCGGGGCTATGAGGTAAATCTGATCGGGAGCATGGGAAAGTTGGCGACAGTGAGGGACGAGAGAAACCTAACCCTGTACCCCTTGTAATAAATTATTCATCTTCTGCTAACTTAGAAATATATATCCCAGTGCGCAAACACGTGACATGCCACCCTTTCTATGGGAAGTTTGTCTGAAGTTTGTACTATGGAATTACTTATAGTTTAGAGCCAAGACAATCTGCTATACAGTACACAAGTAAGCATATAAACAATCCGTTACCTATTTACGTCTGGCCTCCCCCTTCAGCATCTCTTTTACGTGAGTTCGCTTGAGTCAAGTGTGGTCGTGCAAGCAGCAATGTAAGGAGCCCAGTCACATATGTGAGGCGAAGTCATAACAGGCCCAGTGGTTCTACCTACAAGAAAACATAAATCTGTTGTTCTTTATTTACTACAGGAGACACCCACCGACCTTACGACAGGTTCGGTCGCGAGCGGCGTTCGTAAGTGCAACATATGTACGTTACGTATACACGTATTTACCAGTGATGTAGTATACAGGGTAAGATACTACCCCATTTTAGCTTGATTAGTCCACAGGAACTAGTAAAAGACATAGAACAGCAGTCGTCAATGACACTGTAGCTCACCACGAGAAAAGAAAACACCAATGGAAGTGAGTGGAAAGCATCCGTTTTATTGCAGCAAACATCGAGCTACATCTATAGAAACGAGAATTATAGTATTGGGAGAACTCCCAATTATATTCTATTACTAGCAGGCGCGACCCGGCGATGCCCAGGGATTTTTTGAGGGTTACTAGCTTTTCTGCTATTTCATGCCGTTTGTGGCTATTGCTTGCGTTTCGGCATTTCATGCGGATTGCCTGATTTTGAGCCTGACTATAGTCTGAGCGCTGTCTTGCCTGTTCTAGGATTCGTCTTGACTTTTCTGCTGCAGTGTATTTAGTCTAGGAGCGCCTAGCGATTGCTGTTATTTGTTAACTTTTCTGCTGGTAGTATTTATGTTTCGGGGAATCTGGGACCAACTCCTATTGACAACCCAGGTTTAAAAACCCTACCCTAACCCTAACCAAAACTCACGACATGGGTGTTGTAAACGTACTTATGACGAATCTGTTGTTTGTTTTTTTGCCCCTTAATTTGGTGCTGGGCCGTTTTTTGATCGCAAATTGTTTTTGGGCTCTAAAATGGTCCGTCGCCACAGCATGGTGATTGAGAAGGTACTCGACGGGGTGACCTTTAGCTGGTCTCAACAAGACGGACAGAGAGATAGAGTCCGGCGATTTATTTGAGAGTAATACGAACCAAAATCGAGAAATACGATGTCGTTACCCGGTGCCTGCCGAAAAAAATAAGCAGCAAGTTGAGCTTTATACCTTTCAGCAGGGCTCATGTTACGAGCGCTTTTGTCTCTCCCTTCGACAGCAAAATTTGTTTATAGAATAACAAAAAATAGTCGACAAGTACAGCTAGAACAATAGCGGTCAAGATGCAAATTCAACATGCACAGCCTGGGATGAGCACTGTGAACGGCATCATAAGCGCCACCTCGCGGACATTTTTAGAACATAATAATAATTTTAATTGAATTTTAAACTTTTTTATTCTTGTGTTTTTTTTTTTTTTGACTTGCCTTTAGGCCATCGCCCGACATGCTGATTAAGCAATATATCAGGTGTTTGGGGGTGGCTCTGTACGGGGGAGGAAAAGGATAGTCAGAAAGACAGACACAAACCAGGCTCGCCCTTTATAGAAGAGATTTTACTCGTTGATAGCTCTTTGTGACGGTACGATGGCGTGATACCCCTTGATGTTTCCTTAGCGATGGTGCGTCTTTGAAATAAATAGGATTATGCCTGCGTTCCGACATGTTTCTGTAAAACTTTACTTCTTCTAATATAGACGTTCTATCGGCAGGGTGGAGAGGAAATACCAATTTTGCATTAAAGATATTGTCAATGAGATCTTGTAAAACGAACCAGATGAGTGTGACACCACAGACTGTTATCTGCGTGTCTATATAATATGCTATATAATTGCCAAAACCTACCTAATTTGCATAATTTTTTTTTAAATATCAAAACCCCTGTAATACGTTTTGGGGCCAGCCCTTATTCATTCACATAACAAAAATGAGTAAAATCCGTTGAACCTGAACTGACTAATGGCAATTTCCATTTTTGCCAGAAAATTGGCGTGGCTCGAAAGTACGTCGACTGGCATGCTCCAAAATATGACGTTCAAACCTCTCCCATAGCAGTAACAACTATACCCAATTTCAAACATGTGGGTCAAACGGTTCCTGAGTTATCTTTGACCGTAGCCAAATGTTGACGGAAGGACGGACGGACGTACGACAGACGACGACCCATGGCAATAGCTCATCTTGATGATGTCAAGGTAAGCTAAAAATGTACTAGTCCTTCCAAGATTCTACTAGTCCTGCCGAAGGACTCTTACTAGGCGCAGAGCGACGAGCATTGTGGTTTGCCAGGAGGTAAGTGGGGTAGGAGGGTGGAGCCCCCTTTCTGCTAGGGAATACAGGGGGTCTCGCCCACGGTACAAGGGGTATCCCCCAGAAAGGTTTTGTAAAATACTTTCAATTGTATAAAATATACGTAACTTTGATATGGATCATAAGATAAAAAATTAAATTAAGTTAAATTTTAATTCAAAAATAAAATTTCGGCCTCCTTTGATGAGGAATCTGTGTATCCGTCACTTATCACAGCAAGGAATTTGGCCTCATTTATAGCTCCAAACTGTTCCCGGTGCCTTTTATCGGTTATCGCCGTAATGAACTTCTGGCAGGCCTTGTCGGTGAGGTAAGTGCTGCCGACATCTAACCCCTTGGCCTTGTCAAGCTAGCACAGCTTGACGTAATCGGTGTAGGGCCTGCCGTTTTTTCCAATAGCATACATGTGCATTTCTAATTAGGATATCCAGTTTTGCTATTGTGACCTTGTTCATTCAAGTTAGTGTTTTTGCCCCAACTGTTTCGTGAACAGGCATGGTCCTTGCATTTCTTTTTGCAATGATCTTTCTGTGCCCCTCGGAAGCATCATGCACTTTAACAGTTTCCAAATGATAGTTTGTAGTGCCGGTGAAAAAACTACCAGACATACAGCCTGCACCACAGGTCATACCCTTGCCATTGGCCGGTTCATACTCTAGCCACGGGTATGATGATTTCCACGCTGGCTGGAACGTATGCATCCTTTTGGTCTTATCATAGACCACGATGGCCATCTAATTTCTCCTCCTGCGACCATAGTTTGGGAGGTGGAGGACGAGCTCCGTCCAAATATTTTCACATAACAACCTTGATGTTAGTATTGGATAAGGATGTACCTACTACTACAGGGTTTCTTATACATAAGAGGCACAATGGCACACCGCCGTTGTCAAATTTAACATCGCCGTTGTGAAAATGTTCCTGTATTTACTGATAAGTATATCTCGTACAGGGTTCTCCCCAGGATGAAATTAAAACAGGGGGAGGAGGGAGTGGGGAGAAGAGGAGGGGGAGGGCTTAGTGTGGTTTCGTGTGTGTTTGTGGCTGTGTGTGTGTGTGCATAGTGCATACAGCGTGTCCTTATGTGTGTGCCGTATGGGGGGGGGTCAAAACCCATTCTGGACGACCGGTAATATTGTATATATATATATATATATACAAAATATATGCCTCCATTACACTGACAAGCAGGAAATATTGTTGGAATACTTAATCCATATTGCAATGCTTTTGCCATCTAAATGCATTTGAATGAAGGTGCCATAATTCATTAATAATTTCATTTTCCTTCAGCTTTTTCATTTTTACCCGATTCTCGGATCATCTTCAAAGTATCGATGAGAGTGCGTTTATGATAAGCAAAAGACGCAATCGTTTTGGTGTGAGGCGGAAATCATCTTCGCCATTGGTATACACATTTTGTTAGTGAATTTATTGTTAGTAAACCATGTAACGTGCTGTTTTACCTATTGTATGGAAATTGACACACCGGCGATATAACATGTTCTATATTATATATATATATATAATATATATATATATGTATAGATGTCATATGTATATATTGGTCTGTGTGGCCAAATTTCTGAAGAATCGCGTTAAAAACTGCAGATAGTAACAGGTTC